ACAGTACTGTGCCTAGTAATAATCTATTTTTTTAATTGATCAGACTCTATATATTACAATACATTTGTTTTTGTGTGATATGAGCATAAGGTAAAAGAAGACATACACTGAACTATTAACACTGATTTATTGTCTAGGACGGTCATTCTCAATTGTGGCTTCACATTGGAATTATCTGGAAAACCTTAAAAAATGCAGACATTTAATTAGATTGGGGCATAGTGTAGGCATCAGAATTGTTTAAAGTTTTCCATGTGAGTCTAATGTGCTAAGAAACATTGTTCTAGAGGATTAGCCTGGCTTAAGTGATTCAAAAGTGTGTTTCTACACATACAACACACACCTACAACTCAGTCAGGACTTCCATAGTCAAAAATGCACTCCAACCTTGCATAGCCACATGAACTGAAAGAAAGCAGTTTGGCTTAGAAATATACTATAGCCCTGGCTAGTTTGGCTCAGTGGTTATAGCATCTGCCCACAGAGTCTCAGGTTCAATTCCCGGTTAAGGGCATGTACCTCTGTAGCGGGTTTGATTCTGGCCCACGTCGGGGTCATGAGGGAGGCAATCGATAGACATGTCTCTCTCTCATCAATGTTTCTCTCTCTCTCTCTCCCTCCATCCCTCCCACTCTATCTGAAAAAAATCAATAAAAATATCCTCAAGTGAAGAGATTTTATTTATAATCCATAAAACTAAATAAGTAAAAATGTATGAGCATACTAAATATTTATATTTGTTACATAGCTACATACATATACATATAAGTATATATATTTGACATTTGATTATGGATTCCAATAGAAAGATTATGTGACTACTTTGGAAAGCAGTAAGTTTAAATTACAACTATTTTTGTTTGTATTTTATCTATTTTATTTTGTAAAAGTTTTATTTTACTGATTTTGGAGAGAGAGGAAGGAAGAGGGAGAAAGAAAGAGTAACATAGATGTGAGAGGGAAACATAGATCAGCTGCTTCCTGCACACCCCCTACCTAGAATTGAGCCTGCAGTGCAGGCATCTTCCCTGACCTGGAATCGAACCAGAAACCTTTCAGTGCACGGGAGGACTCCCAACCAAATGAACCACAATGGCCAGGGCTGTTTATTTTCTTTTTCAATATGTCAATGGCTTCCCTGGTGCAGTCCTGGTATCTGACCACCAGAGGGAGGAAGCCTGGGTATTGGTATCTGATGAAAAGGAGGATTCTTGGAATTTTGCTGAAGAGGATGTGAGTAAATGTTATCTGATCCTCACTATTTAGGATTCCAGGTTTCCTTTTCTTAAAGACAAATAACCCCAAATAGGCAGGGGACTCTAAAATACAAACTTGAATCATGTTTCACAAGAGTCAGCTCAACTCATATACTGAGGTAAGTGAGCCAAGAAGTCATTGGTCTTGTCCAAGAAACCCTGGAAACCAGGGGTAGGACCTACATTTTTTCAAAACTAGAGAACAATTTAGGCTGGGAAACCAATGGCATTCCTTCTTTCATTCCAAGTTTGGAAATTTGACTATTGATCTGGACTCTGCTCAGTTTCTGATTCAGTGATCTCAGCAGTGTATGAAACATTAAGTCTGGAAGCTCTCATCTACATCGTATTCACTGCATAAAGAATGTGACTCATAGGAGGCATTTGGAAAGAGCAAATAGTCCCTATGAAAGGGGCAGGCTAGCCCCCTCAGTCTCTGGGACATCTCGTCAGTATCTCAGTTTTAGAGTTCTAAGGCCCTGCAGTGTTATTAACAGTGGGCGAGCCTTTGGTCCCTAGCTGAGATATATTCCCAGATGTGCTGGGCTGGCTCATACTGGCACACAAGAAGGAACTGTTACATTTTTCAGGAATTTAACTTTTTGGTTGTTAAATGTAGACATTCTTAAAAATTAAATTATTTAAATTTACAATGAATAACATTAATTAAATTACATTGCTTATGTTAAAAACAAAGCTAATGTATGCTATCATTTATTAATTCCTAAATATTTTACTACCTTTTGCTATTATCTATGCCCATAAGATTATTTATGTCTATTGTATGTGCATTATAGAAATGATATATAATAGCATGAGACTCGTCTCTTCCTAACCCTGCATTTAGTGACTTCATCTTGATAGCTTGAAATTGGTCACCCTGGGCCAGGAGGCAACATAGCAGGCCCATGCGGAAGCCAGTCCTCCCACTGTCACACTACAATCACCTTTATCTACTTAATCGCCTATGTGATAGTTACAAAAATGGCTTTGTGTTGGAAGATGATTAGCTTCTGCAGCTTGATATACTCATGGAGGACATGCAGGGACGTCTGGACTTCAGAATGGACTGCCTCTCCTAACATCTGTGGATACAGAAGTTCAAGAAAAGTCTGTGAGTGGAAGTATACCGAGAATCAACTGGTTGCATGAGATTCATCATAAAGGGTGTTATGTATTATATCATTCTTTGTAAACTGAACGCTACACACCTTTTGTATTAAAAAATTTAAAGACACACACATCCTTAAAAAAATCTGTTAGCCCTCGCTGGTTTGGCTCAGCGGTTAGAGCGTCGACCTACAGTCCAGAGAGACCCGGGTTTGGTTCCTGCTAAGGGCATGTACCTTGGTTGCAGTTTGTCCCCAGCCCTGGTTGGGTTGTGTGGGTGGCAGCCACTCGATGTGTCCCTTCCACGTCGATGTTTCTCTCTCTCTCTCTCTCTCTCTCTCTCAGTCACTCACTCACTCTCACTCTATCTGAACAAAAAAGAAAGAATGTCCTCAGGTGAGGATAAAAAAAAATCTGTTAAACAGCTCATTATACCACTAACTTCCTTTCATCATAGAGTTTCTTGTTAACAAGATATCCTGGGCCTAGAGGTAAGGGTGCAGGAAAAGAAGGGGAAGGAGGAATTTCATAGTGGCTTCTGGATTGCAAACCTTGAAGAACTCAGGGGAAAGGGTCTTCATATCTGAGGCAGCAGCCCAGTGCTGGGAACATAAGCCCCTATTAGTATGTACGTAGGCAATCTGAGACGTGTAAATTCCCACCTCTGACACCCCTGAACAGACAGAGGGTGTCTTTGAGACATTGACAGAGACAACTCTGAAAATATGAGCTGTTTCCTGGCTGGTGTGGTTCACTGGTTGAGTGTCTACCCATGCACCAAGAGGTCGCAGGTTTGATTCTGTCAGGGCACATGCCCAAGTTGTGGGCCCCATCCCCAGTGGGGGGCATGCAGGAGGTGGCCAATCGATGTTCTCTCTCATCAATGTTTCTCTCTCTCTCTCCCTTCCTCTCCTTCTCAAATTAATAAAGAAAAAAAGTTAAAATAAAAAGAAAGAAAATGTGAGTTTTATCCTGCAGCAGCTACAACAGAGAAGCAAGGCTAGAAGAAAGAAAGTGGAGTGTCCCTTAGTTTCCCCCTTACTTCCCTGGAAACATTTAATTTACTTGTTAAACCCAACCTCACACTGTTTATCCAGACAGTCTATTTTTTGCTTCTAAGTGATACTAATTAAAATAAAAATAAAATTATGACTGCAAAACTTGGTTGGGGTTTTGATTCACTGCCAGCATGCCCACAACCATTAAGAGTTCCTGTGTAAACACTCTCATTGTGAAACTTCAGGTATTTTTAAAGTGAATGGATGTAAAAGTAGAAAAAAATGGTACCTTCCTTGTAAATTTTTTTTCTAGCTTTTTTTATGGACCATAACAAAAATAGAGCCTAACTAATTCTCTGAGACTAAGGATATTTCCTTAGGAGTAAAAAGTAAACTTGGTATGCATGAATGAACACTGACATGAACCTCCAATGATTCAGTTGTTGAGCACTTGGCACAAAGGAGGCTAGCTAGGCTCCTGGGTTCTTCCCCCTACAAGCTGTTTTTCTTTACCCGGAGAAAACCTGTGATCCGCGATTGGAAAGGCATTCCAATTGGCAGAATCATTTTGCAGATGCAATAATTGGTCATTTGGGAACTGGGCAAGAGTTTACAAACGGTTCAAGGCAAATGGACTGTTAGTGTGTAGCCAGATATTATTAATAAAATAGAAGGGAACAAATGTCAGGTCAGAAGCCACAGCCTCCCACACCCCAGGGGATCACAGCATTGCCCAGCCAGTGGGATGAACACCTGTTGTGCCCCTGCACAGAGGAAGGACTGGCTTTCTCACCTGCAGCCTACAACCTGTCCACTGGCCCAGACTATGGGGGAGGAACAAACAATAAACAAATTCCTCTGCAGGGCTCATGCGCAGTAGGAGCCAAGATGGCAACCATAAAGGGGAGGGGCCCAGAGTGGGAAAAGGATCTGATTGGATAAGGGACACAGAACCCTGGGAGATCTAAGACATGGATTGGTTACGGGAGGTCCAATGGCACAGACTTTCTGGGCCTGAGGACGACAAGGCCTGACTTCGTCCACAGTGGGAGGGAGCAAAGCCACCTGGCCATGAATGTCTACGGTCTCTGGACAACTGGGAACAGTTACTTGAGTTTGCTCCAGCTTTACTAAATCTTATTGCTGCATCTCATCCTCCCATGCATGGTCCCGAAATGCTTTTCTCACGACACTGCAAGGACCCAATTTGAACAGCAACACAACCACCACTCTTTCTGGAAAATAACTCAAAAGTATACCCTTTTCTGAGGGTAGGTCATTAATAACCCCTTTGGTGAACTATAATATGCCCTACTATAGTATTGCATTGAGTATAAAGCTGTGTCTTAAATCTTACCCAGAGGAGATTATTAGAAATATCAAAGTTTATGAAGTACTCAGAGTAGGGTATGCAGGGACGTTTGAGGTAGAAACATACAACTTTGACTTAGATGTTGGAGTTCTGCCATTGGTGAGTTAATATTTGTTACAGTATAATAGATATAATAGACATACATGCAAATGCCTTACATTTTCTCATTTAATCTTCTTAAAAATCATATGAGGTAAGTACTTCTGCAGCTGCATTTCCTAGAGAAGAAGTTAAGTAACTCACCACTTTTACACAGGTAAGGGAGAGAGCTGCCATCTGAAATCAGGACTGTAGAACTCTAAAGCCCAAAGCCTTAACCACTTGACTCTGCTGGTGTGAACCAGCTACCCGGGTTTACGGAGACCTGCTTGACCTCTCCAGGCCTTGCCGCCACCTCTTACAGAACGGTGAGATAATATCTATTGTTCCCACCTGAAGAGCGGAGAGTCATGAGATAATGAGGGTGGATCGTAAAAGGTTATACCAATGTAAACTATTATAATTCTAATATAGGTAAGAATTGTAAAAATAAAATAATTATATAACAAGACTATTATTTACATGAAATGTGGATGTATGTCAAAATTTATCTTGGTGAATGTTTTTGATTAATTCATCTATTAATTCATTTTTAAACAATCTTAATTGAGCCGCTTGAGTAAGTAGAAAAAGACTTGACTTTAGAGTTCATCACTTGGAAACTGAGGATCAACTCTGTCTTCCTATAGCTGCGGGAACTTGGTCAAATCCCTCAAACCCTCAAAGCCCATATGACAATAGCCAGTTCAGAGGACTGTGACAATTAATCAAGATGATATAGGTGCTCAATAGATGTAAGCTTCTTTGCCTAACCCGATTTCTTACTGGAGTGAGAGTAGTATAAAGTTTACAAGATAAATAGAAGGCAGATGCCAATATAACTTTAGAATTTGAGGAGAGTTAGGACTCATCTAATCCAAATTTCTCTTTATGCTGATGTAGAAGAGGAGATTAAGGGGACTGATCTAAGACCACACAGCCAGCTAGCAGCAGAAGCAAGACTGTAACCCAAGTCTTCTAACTCCCCCCCTTTTTTAAAAAATTGAGTTAAAATACCACGCATCCTGAATGCCTCTGAAAAATGATAACGTGAAGTCTTCATGTCCTAGCATTAAAGGAACACACATAATAGTTTTAAACATGTTGTTTAGAGATACAATACGTGAATCAGGTTTTTCTGAGAGGCACAAATCATTTCACAATCGTTCTGCCATTGCATAGTTGACGTGCCACATGTGAATCATCCCCCTCACAAAATATTCCCCAGTTTATCTCATAAACACTCAGAATCTTCGCATGGTTCTTGTCCTCAAAGAGTTTCCTCTAGATCTATGGACATAAAATGTGAACATGTAAAAATGTTGAAGAACAGAGAAATGTGGTTTAGAATTACTGCCAAGTCAATGATACATATAACTATAAATGTATGTCAGTGGCCTGGCCATGTGGCTCAGTTGGCTGGAGCATTGTCCCATACACCAAAAGGTTGTGGGTTACATCCCCAGTCAGGTTGCATATGGGAGACAACCCATCGATGTTTCTCTGTCACATCAATGTTTCTCTCTCTCTCTCCCTTCCTCTCTCTCTAAAATTAATTTAAAAATAGCCTCAGGTGAGTACTAAAAAAAGAAAGCATTTTGCCCTGGCCAGTTTTGGAGCATTGACCCACAGACCAATGAGTCCTGGGTTCGATTCTGGTCAAGGGCATATACCTCAATTGCGGTTTGTCCCTGGTCCTGGTCGGGTGGTGTGGGAGTCAACAAGTCTCTCTCTCTCTCTCTTTCTCTCTCTCTCCCTCTCTCTCTCTCTCCCCTCCTCCCACTCTATCTACTGATAAATAGAAATATATACTTGGATGAAGAAAAATAATAATAAAGCATTTCAAAGAGAAAGTTTTTTTTTTGTTGTTTCCAGAAATATCTCAGGAAGATGAATGTCCATCTTTGTCTTAAAGATGTGTGATATTCAGATATAATAAAAGGAGGGACATTTTGGGCAAGGATCAAACTTGAGCAAAGCTTTAGAGAATGGAATATGAAGAGTGCATTTAATTAGCTATCAGTGCCAGCTGAGTGCTGGGACATGTCGGGAACTGCTGGAAGATTAGGTAGGAAAAGTGGATGGTGACAGCACAGGACACCCTAATGTTGCCTTAGTGAGTGGGACTGGGGAGCGTCACCACACAGAGGGCAGGTTTATCTGGTGGTGCTGTGTTAGCCAGGTGAAGATGGCCCCAGAACACAAGTGGCGGTTCATTCCAGTAAGCTCCAAGGATGGTGGCCAAAGGACACATCTCAGAGATATCAAAGAGGATTTAAAAACCCTAGTGAGTTAGACAAGGAAACTCAAAGGTGATTTTTCAAGTATGTAACAATAAGATTAGTAGTAGTTTGACAAAAATAAAACAATCAGGAGAGGGAAGCAGGAAGGTACTTCAAGACAATAAACGAGCTTCTAGACTTCATGTTGTTGATGTGATGGTGAAGCACAAATGTCCGGGAGTAACATACATATAAGGGGCGGTCACAGAAATCTAAATTCCAATGGCGCTGAAAGCCTCGTGTGCCAGCTTGAACCTGTGAAACTAAAGCATTCTGAAAAATTTAGACACGAACACTCTAAAATATAAAATTCAATCTGTCACTAATTGTTTACATTTGATCATTCTTTCATAATGAACTGAAGAAAGAATCTGCCATCCCATGTATTTTTACAAGTAAAGAAAAATAATGTTTTTCTAAAGCCATTAGTGACCTCTGAACTCATCTGGTAGAATTCGTTTAAAGTGAGGAATAATTCACATACTGTAATGTGTAAAAATCTAGTGATTAGTTTTCACACATGTGGGCATGTGCTCATGTGAAGACTACCAAAATCAAGATATAGAACATTTATAGAACCCCCAAAAGCACCCAAGAAAACTCTCTCCTAGACCACACCCCCAAGAGTGACCACTGTTCTGATCACCATCACATAGATGATTTTTACCTGTCTTGAACTTCGTATTATTTGAATTTACTTGAAATGGATTTGCCAACATTTTATTATGGGAAAATTTTAAACATACACCAAAGTGGAATAATTTTACAGTGTACATCATATATGTATATATATTTGTCGTTCTTGTATTTATTTTCTCTTATGCTAAATTTTGCACACCATAAAATACAGAAGGCATAATCTTACAATTACAGTTAACCATTTAGATTTATATCATTGTTTTTAAGTGAACAAAAGCCAAAACCAAGAAGTTAAAAGACACAATTAAACATGCATGCTGTGGTTTCCTCCTGAAAAGCTACGTATATTAATTAGCTTGTTTAGTTAACTGAACTTTTATTTAATTTTTTTTGCATTGGTGGAACATTGGACTGTACATCCACATCCATATATTTACACCCCCAATTTTACTTTAATTTTAGTTTTTATCCTCAGTTGAGGACAGTTTTGCATTTATCTTTAGACAGAGCAGAAGGGAGAGAGGCAGGAAGAGAGAGAGAGAAATATCGATGGGAGAGAGACACATTGACTGGTGTCCTCCCACCCACCCCAACGGGGGCCGGGGACAAACTGCAACCAGGTACCTGCCCTTAGTGGAAACTGATGCTCTAACCACTGAGCACACCGGCCAGGGCCCAATTTTAATTTTTAAAGTTTCAGTCTACCATCTTGCTTTTGTTCTCTATTCATTCCATCTCTTCAATAGTTTTATTTCTTTTATAGTCTTCTTTCTTGATTAATTATCCTTTTTATTCCATTTTAAATTAATTATTGACTCTTTATCTAAACTTCTTTTTCTAGTAGTTTTTCCAGAGTTTATTTTTTGAATTTATCTTTATTGCTGAAATTATTACATATGTCCCTCCTCTTTTCCCCCATTGACACCCCCCTCACTGCTCCCGTCCCCTTACCCTTATGTCCCTGCCTTCATCAAACTGTTGTCTGTGTTCGTTGGTTGTGCATATATGTATATCAGTTCTTCGGTTTTTCTTTCTTCATCTTCCATGCCCCTTTCCTCTGAGGTTTGTCATTCTGTTTCCTACTTCCATGTCTCTGGATCTATTTTGTTTGTCAGCTTAGTTTGTTCATTGTATTCCATAAATAAGTGAGATCATTTGGTATTTGTCTTTCTCTGATTGGCTTATTTCACTTAGCATAATACTCTCCAGGTCCCTCCATGTCATCTCAAAAGATGAGAGATCTTTCTTCTTTATAGCTGCATAGTATTCCATTGTGTATATGTACTACAGCTTTTTTATCCACTCATCTACTGATGAAGACTCGCGCTGTTTCCAGATCTTAGCTATTGCAAATAGTCCTGCTATGAACAGAGCGGTGCATAAATTTTTTCTGATTAGTGTTTCAGGTTTCTTAGGACATAATCCTAGAAGTGAGATCACTGGCTCAAATGGCAGTTAAATTTTTAATTTTTTGAGGAAACACCATATTGTTTTCCATAGTGGCTGCACCAGTCTGCATTCCCAACTCCAGAGTTTATTTTAATTCAATATTTAGTTTATTAATTTTATGGTAAAATACACTTAAGTACTGTATGTGTAATGAAAGACCTTTATTCTTTTTTTATATTAATTAATTAATTTATTTTTGTTACACGTTTCTCCTTTTTCCCCCACTGATTGCCCCCTCTCCCTCCCTCCCTGCCCTGTTCCCAGCTTTGTTGTCCATGTCCATTGTTCATGCATACATGCATATAAGTTCCATGGTTTATCTCTCCCCCACCACCCCCATTTCTGGGGATTGTCAGTCTGTACCCTACTTCCACATCTCTGGGACTACCCCATTCCTCAGACTATTAGGTTCATTATATTCCACAAATAAGTGAGATTATATGATATTTGTCTTTCTCTGTTTGGCTTGTTTTGCTTAGGATAATACTTTCCAGGTCCCTCCATGTTGTCTCAAAGGATAAGAGATCTTTCTTTCTTACAGCTGCATATTACTCCATTGTGCATATGTACCACTGCTTTTTTATCCATTCGTCTACTGATGGACACTTGGGCTGTTTCCAGATCTTATAAATAGTGCTGCAATGAACATGGGGGTACATATATTCTTTCTGATTGGTGTTTCAGGCTTCTTAGGGTATATTCCTAGAAGTGAGATCACTGGGTCAAATGGAAGTTCAATTTTTCATTTTCTGTGGTAACACCATAGTGTTTTCCACAGTGGCTGCACCAGTCTGCATTCCCACCTACAGTGTACAAGAGTCCACTTTGCTCCACACCCTCGCCAACACTTGTTGTTTGATGATTTGTTGATGGCGGCCATTCTGACAGGTGTGAGGTGATACCTTGTTGTTTTAATTTGCATCTCTCTGATGATTAGTGATGATGAGCATTTTTTCATA